TATATTCGTAGTTTATATTTAAGCAAATATTTAATTATCATTTTTGAATATTTTATTTATAAAATTAAAAATATTTTACACTGATATCTGATAAAATATTGATAAATTATATTCGTAGTTTATATTTAAGCAAATATTTAATTATTATTATTAATATTAATTTTGCAGGTATTGTATAGCCTTATCAGAAAAGCATATCACAGCATTTTGGCCATATATTAGGTAAAAATTATTTAATTCAAATATATTTTAACACTAAACATCATTTTCAATTGAAATCAATGCATTTTGTTTTAGAATCGAATAACTTAAAATAAATTTGAAAAAAAAAATAAATTTTTTTTTTCGAAAATTTATAAATTTAATTTGTTTCTATTCATATAAGAATCATAACTTTTGTATAAGTAACTAATATAATAATGTATTAATTAATACAATAATCAATTAATTCATACAGTAATCAATTGATACAATAATCAATTAATATAATAATCAATTAAATCATACAATAACTAATTAATAGAATAATCAGTTATTTCATACAATAATCAATTATTCATGTAATAATCAATTAATTCATACAATAATTAATTAATATAATAATCAATTATTTCATACAATAATCAATTAAATCATACAATAACTAATTAATAGAATAATCAGTTATTTCATACAATAATCAATTAATTCATACAATAATCAATTATTTCATACAATAATCAATTAAATCATACAATAACTAATTAATACAATAATCAGTTATTTCATACAATAATCAATTTATTCATGCAATAATCAACTAATTCATACAATAATCAATTAATATAATAATCAATTAATTCATACAATTATCAATTAAATCATACAATAACTAATTCATACAGTAATCAATTAATATAATAATCAATTATTTCATACAATAATAATTTATTCATACAATAATCAATTAAGCGTAATTATTTGTGGAATGAAAGAAATGAAAACAATTTACTTAGCAATATGATAGAGTATGTTTACAAAATATTTTATTTATTTTTTTTTTTCTCTTTTTTAAGTTTACATAATACAAACAAATCTTTCACATATTTATGAATCGTAAAATGAAAAAAAGTTTAAGAATTGAATACCAAAAATTTTAGTTTTACTTTTTTTTATTTTTTTTTTTTTTTTTGCATTCTAATCATTTATGAATCAAAATTATCATCAATTACTAATAATTTGATTTATCATTTATCAATAAAAATTTATTCAACAAATGAACAATTTTGTGATTTGTTTTAATTTCAAAAAGACATTCTAATTCATAAATTAATCTAATTTTAAAATTGATAATTTTGTATCAAATATAATCAACGATTGAAATTTCTCTTCAATTCATTTAAATCATTATTATAAATTAAATTTTTTAAATTTTTATCAGCAAAATATTGCATCAGTAAATTTAAAAATTTAATTTAATCATTTAAAATATTCATTTTTTTAAAAAAAAAGTACTCAATTAATTTTAATCAATTTTTGTTAAATTTTTATGTTTGCAAACAAAAAAAATTTCAATTTTAGTGACAGTGGTACATTACCGCCAGAAAGTTGTATTTTTGGGCAACTTCTTAATTTATCTGCTGTTTTTTGCAAGTTTTATTTTAATTTTATTACTTACTTTTTTTTTTTTTGTCTCATTACTTTATCAAAAATTTTGATTAATTTTAATCAAATGAATAAATACTTTAATATTTGCTTTTTCATTCTTTCTTTTTATGCACTAAAATTTTTTTAAAAAAAAAAAGATTATCCATCAATTTTAAATATATTTAAGTAAGTTTAAATTGCGTAAATAATTTCATTTCTCATTTAAATTTTTACACAAACTAAATTTCATATTCACATCAAAATTTGCAAAATCCTTTTAAAAATGTTAAATTTATTTGAAAAAAAAAAATAGAAATTTTAAAAAGTTTTAAAAACTAATTATTTTCATTTTTTAATTAAGAAAATTTAATTTTAATTTTTCAGTTACAATAACTGCATATTTAAGACATCGACAACTTATTGAATTTTATTGGCATCATTTAAAACAGGTTTGTATTTTAGCAATGAAATATTTTTTTTTTTTGTTAGAAAATGAAATGATATTTTTTTAATAATTTATAAATTTAAATAATACATTAAATTTTAATAAATGTGCATTTTAATAATTTAAAAATTTATAAATTTAAATAATATGCTAAATTCTTATAAATGTGAATTTCAATAATTTAAATAATACATTAAATCTTAATAAATGTGTATTTTAATAATTTAAAAATTTATAAATTTAAATAATATATTAAATTCTTATAAGTGTGAATTTCAATAATTTAAATAATGTATTAAATTTTAATAAATATGCATTTTAATAATTTAAAAATTTATAAATTTAAATCATATATTAAATTCCTATAAGTGTGAATTTCAATAATTTAAATAATGCATTAAATTTTAATAAATGTGCATTTTAATAATTTAAAAATTTATAAATTTAACTAATCTATTAAATTCTTATAAATGTGCATTTTAATAATTTAAAAATTTATAAATTTAAATAATATATTAATTTCTTATAAATGTAAATTTCAATAATTTAAAAATTTATAAATTTAAATAATGCATTAAATCTTAATAAACGTGCATAATTAAAAAAATTTAATTTTTTTTTTATCGTTTTTTTTTTCTAACAAATTTTTGATTATTTGATATGTTTTATTTAATATTATGATTATCATGATTATTTCAACAAATTTTTATTTGATTTTCTTCTTTTTTCCTTTTTTTTTTTTTTTGTCTATAAAATCATTTAAGCTTAATCTATCGCATATCATAGAGCATTTTTTTATTTAAGTTTTTTAAAAATGAATGATTTAATATTCCATCCAGAAAATTTTGTTTCTTTTTTTTTAAAAAAAAAATTTTTTTGAAATTGTAAGATTTGAAATTTTTGATGAGAGTAATTATGATTTTAAATAGCAAATATTTTTTTGGTAGTTCTAAATGTAAATATTCTATTTTTGAGTTTTAAACTTACTTTTAAACTTATTAAACTTACTTTTTACAAATAATAACTGATAAATTTATAAATGCTTACAACGATCAGTGAAAAAAAAAAATTAAATTTTATTTTCCTTTTTCCTGAATATGAATTCTTTGAATTGCTTTTACTTTAAAGAAAAATGGAAATTGGCGAAGCTATAGTACCATATACTTATGGTTTGGATATTTCTCAGCATTTGGTGTCAGTTTGATTGGCAATTTTCAAGTATGATAACAATTTTAATCACTAATTTGATAAGATAAAATTGATAAAATATTTTGAGATAATTTTTCCTACATTTATTTCGATTATTCTTACTATAAATTTCATTTTTTACACCAGTAAATTATCAATCAATGTTTTGCAAAGTATAAATTATTACTACTTCTTGTAGTCTTACTCTTGTAATTCAAAATTTTTTCAATCAATGATGAAAAATTTAATTTTTATTAATTTTAAAAAAAGTAATTAAAAATTAATTTTTATTTCTTAAAAGCATCATTTATCTACAACTTCGTTCATTTTTTTCTCTAAATAATTAATAAATTTCTCGACTATAAAATTTAAAAAAAAATTTTGAAATTTTTAGGAAATGAGCCTTGTTATGGTTCATTATATCGGTGCATTGATGGCTTTTGGATGTGGCCTAGTATATACTTGGGCCCAGACACTTTTTAGTTATTGGATGCAGCCAAGATTTGCAAAATCTGCAATACCACATTGTCGCTTATTTCTAAGCTGTTTATCAACTATTTTCTTCATTACTGGTAAAAATAGTAGCACCTTTTCTTTTTTCTTTCTTGGGTCTAATAAAATATAATTGATAAATTAATTTTTTAAAAAAAAAAAAAAAAAAAATTAAACAAAACTTATTAATTTTACTAAATCATTAAAAACTTTTTTTGAAGTAAAATAAACGATCAAACAAAAATTATACTACAAAAAAAAATTTTTTTTTCCTTCCAAAATCTTTTAAATGTTCTGATTTTTATGAAATCTAGTAAAATTTTAAAGTCTAATTATTTTCAAAATAAATAAGGATAATTAATATATAACAAATATTTTAATAAATTAGTATTTTTCTTAATTTTTCTTACTTTTCAATAACTTTGTTCCAATTAAATTTTGAGATAAATTTTCTCAGATAATTTTAATTTCGAATACTTAATTCCTATGAATTTTACTCCTAAAATACTAGTATCAAAATATTTTAATAAATTAGTATTTAAACACAATTAAATTGTAATTTTTTCAGTGGGAATATTTGGAACAATACTTGGTCAACAGCCAAAAAATTGGCTTGGCCGTAAACAACTCTATAAATGGACACCTGAAAGTCCGGTAAGCAAAAAAAAAAAATCAATCAATTAATTAATTATTAATTAAGTGCTATTAGTTAAATTAACCATTTAGTTATTAGTTTGATAAAATTTCATAATTTATTTAAATTTTTATTTAAAATATAGCATTATGTGAGAATATAATTCATCCTATTAAATGTAATTAAAATATAGCATTATTTAAAACAAAAATAAAATATTTTTCCATCCAATTTTTAAATAAGTTTTTTTCTTTTTTTTTTCTTTTTCAAATAATTTAATCGATTAATGTAATAGATATACTCAATAAATATTCATTAACTAATTGCTAACTAATAGATATTAAATAATTTGATAGATTAATTTTAAAAAATATTAATAATAATAATAACAGTAATAAGTTTTGATATCTCTCATGCAATTATTAAATAATTAATAAATTAATTTAAAAAAAAATATTAATAAGTGAAAAAAAAAAGAAACAAACAATTCATAATTTATTTGAAGTATAGCATTATGTGGAACATATGATTGCTACTTGCTCGGAATGGTTGCTAGCAATTTGTTTCCAATTTTACATTCTTACTTTTGCAATCGAATTCCGTCATGCAAGTTGTCATGCACCAAAGCTAAAACTTAATTTGGATACAATCAATCAAAGTAATCAATTTAATGCTAATAATACTGATAAAAATATTTCAAATCATACTGATACTGATTGTAACAATATAAATAATGGACTGTGATAATGAATAACATTCAATTACCACTGCTTTATCAATTAATTTCAAAAATAATATGAATGATTCATATTATTGCAACAATAATAATAATAATAATACAACAACAACAACAATAATTGATTGTATGAAATTACCTATTCAGTTTTATTTCTCAAATAATTCTTCCAAATTATAGATTCAAATTGCTAGCTTAATTAATATTTATTAGCTTAATCAAACAATTCTTTTCTATGCTAATATTAAATAATAATTACTTAATTAATTTGATATTAAATTAATGAAATATTTCCAGAATATTAATTATGATGGATTAATTTCATTTTTTTTTTCTATAAATTGAATCATTCGCATTTTGTATTTCTCATTTTGATTCATTAAAAAAAGATATTAAGAATGTTAGCACTGCCTTTTTGTACTCAATAAATGTTCATTAACTAATTGTTAACTAAATATTCAAACTAACTGTTATCAGTATGTTTCAAAAAAAAAATAAAAAATTAAGAATCCATTATCATGAATGACTCAGAATTATGAGACTAACAAAATACTTTAAATTTTAATCAATTAATCTAATTAATTGAATATTTGTTCTATTATTACCAATTCAATTTCATGTTATATTAAAATTAAATCAATAAACTTAAAGAAGACAATAAACCTATAAGGAACAATAATTTATTTGCCAAGTTAAATACATCTTACTGTTATATGTTATTATCAAAAAAAAAAAAAAATAATAGAACAAATATTAATTAAAAAAAAGGAAAACATGTAACGGAAATGTACTGATAAATGGAATTATATTTTGTTCATATCAATAATTATTGATGATAACCGGTTATCATTATTGTGATATGTTATCATTTTGCTATATTTACAAATTTTCTATTTTAATTTTCACATGTTTGCTTGCTTATTTTTTTGTCAATAAATATAATTAATTAAATGCATATATAGCATGCTATAGCCATTTATAATTAATTTTTCATTTGTAATTAACAATACATTACATTCGATCTAACATCAAAATTTGTCCTAATTTTTTGATTGAAACCGCCTACAAATGTGTATACATAATAAATAGAAAATACAAACATAAAATTATTGATATATTACATATATGAATTATTATTTGCAATAATTTCAAATAAATTATTTTATAAATAAACAAGATATTATTTAAATATTGTTTTTTTATCATTTAACATTGCTAAAATTTTGCTCACTTAAAAGTAGTTGAAAAATGTTAACGAAAATATTTATAAGTACTAATATGAACAGTGATTATAACTTATGCTATTTTGTTCAATAGATAATTTCAAAAAGAAAAAAAAAAGTTAAAAAAGGATATTAAATGACAGCGATTGAAAAGCAAAGAAAAATTATACTCTTTTCATAACTTATGTTTTACTCCTATTCATAACTGTCATTTTCAAATAATATAAATAATTTGAAATAAAAAAAATTATTTTTAGAGAGTTGAATAACTAAAATTACGAAATCTAAGTTTGAAAAATTTGAAAGGAAAAAAAAGTGCATAAAATTTAAGTGTAACAAAATCAAATTAATTAATATAAGACTGCAATTCTCGAATAAATTAACAAAACTATTTGCTACACAATAAAAACATCAAAATTTCTCGAGACTTTTTGCACTTCAATCACTCTAAATTTTCCTGAGACTTCTTGCATCTCAATCACTCCATCATAAAAATTATTCCAACAGTTGGAAAATTTTGGGAGAGGAAAATTTCCTAACTGAAAATATTAATATTAACATAAGAAAAGAAAGAAGAGATGGAAAAAAAAAGAAATAACCAAAATGAGAACAGAATAGAATCAGATAGTTTAGGAATAGAATATAATAAAAAGGAAGAAAAATGAATTAGAAACAGCAGCAATGCATCTATGCAGCGAGACGAAGTATTGCACTGGTTTGTTGCATTCATTCTGATGCTACAACGAATAGCCGGACAAATACTCGTTTTGAAAACTGCAATCCCAGTTCGTTAACCCATCTAAATGATGTTTGTTGTGGCATTTTGATGAATAGCGCATGATGTTTGGATGAGTTGTGCATGCAAGGTAAGGTAAGTACACAATAGCATAAAGTATGTGAAGAGTGCATATTTTATGTGATTATTTACTAATTTTAGATTCTCTGAAATTTGCACTGCTGAAATATTGAAAAATAAAGTTTCTCAATGGTAAAAGTTGACGTATATAATGCTAGCATAACTGGTAAACAGGTAAACAATGCTTTGTTCCAACGTAAATGCATTTAATTGTGATATAAAGATACGATTATTGCATTAAGGTAAAATGCGTTTAACTGTAACATAAAATATAATAGCATGCAGCATTTGATTAGTAATCGTAGAAATACATAGAAGTAGTAATAGTATAGTAATGGTAATAGAAATAGTAACAATAGTAGTGATAGTAATAGCAAATAGGCTTAAGTGCAGGATGCGAGTGGCTATGTACACAGGGAGATGTGTGTCTGTGTATGTCTGTATGTGTGTGTGTGTGTGTGTGTGTATGTATGCGTATGTAGGTGTAGGCATGCGTCAAATGATAACGTGGAGCAACGAAACGGCTTGTGCATTTTATCCTGTTATCATCGTTTTTATTTAGGATATCGTGAAAATGCGAAACAAAGGAAAGGATTGCACCCGGTAGCATGTTCCATTCAACTAGCAATTTTTTGGGTGATTTATATTGAGAAATCTTGGAAGCAACGAGAAATCGGGAAATAATCAAATGATTTACTTGTCATTCTTAGAAAAACTATTTTAGCATTCAGAATAATGGTCTCCTAGGAGATGAATTCATGATTTAGTGATATCATAAATTTGTGTATAAACCTTCCTGCAAACTAGTCAGTATACTTTGATAGTTGTAATCAGTTCCATTCATTCCTTCTTTTCTCATATCACATTACATTGGAGATAGTTATCCCAAATTTCATTTCTAATCATCCTCTGATATTCTCTTATATATTTTATAGATATCGTGCACCTTCGTGAAAAATATCACTGGCAGACGTACGTGTGTTGCAAGTTTCAGATGAAAACGTAAAGGCAAGTGATAGTTAGAATAGATCAATCTAACAATATCTGACATTATATTACAACCAATCGATATCAAAACCATAGTGGGGGAAGCAAAAATGATCTTGCATGATCTTTAGTTTCTTAGAATTTGGGTATTTCCCCATCAGATAGTTGAAATTAGTCGGGTTACAGCTATTTCCGGAATTGGTCTTCTATCCAAGGTTTGTCAGCCGGTGCTGTTAATTACTCGTAATCGTTTAAAGCAGATACATTATGTTAGCGAAGTTTGCAGTTAATGTGTAAATGATTCGATTGTGGTAGATAATAATAGATAAAAAAAAGGGATAGTGCTTCAGTTAATATGTCGACTGTTCAGTTGTTCAGTCGATATAGTCGATATGTCGTGGAACATCTGGTGATCTTACATGTTATCGACTTCACTGGAAAATTCCGTTTGAGTAGAAATCGTAATACTCAAGAAAAGCTGAAACTTTGAATAAATCGTCATTATCCTATAAATCATATCCGAACTTTGATAACAAGGCAAATAACAGTTGTTGTGCTTTGATAATTTTATTTTGCTTTATGAAATTATAATGTACCATTTATATCGTGAAAACCAGACGAGTTACAGTTGTCCCTTTCTTTGGAAGTTAGTATCATTTTCACGCCATCATAACGTGTATTTATCAGGGAAGATGCTTGTTCAGAAGTGTCTTATTTTCAGGTAATTAAAAGGGCGTGAAAGTTGTTATACGCAAAACAGAGTTTAGTTTGAAATTACATCGAAGCAAAGCATATCGAACTTCTGGGATCTCACAAAAGCTACTGGTTAAAGTAAGGACAAAGTAAATTCTATCATTTAAAGTAACGTTACCGAGCAACTCAGTGGCAAAGGTCCAGAGAAGATTTATTAACAGTAATATCTTCGATTGATGCGAGTACTGCAGCCATATCTGATATGCAGTATTGAGATTAGAATAGATGTTTGAGTCTGTTGAAATTCCGTTATTTGCAAACTTCGAAATATGTTATTCTCTTAAACACATATGTTTGAGGAGATCCGGAAATTCTTATGCTTCAACATAAGCATGTAAAAAGAAGAATGCTTCAGCATTATTCAGGATAATTAATCCTGAATAAAGATTTGATAAGTAACGGATTTTGTTTGCTTATTAAAAATATAACGGTAATCGTTTTTGCAATAGTAGTAGTAACGATTTCTAACTTCACACTTTTTCCCAGAAAGTGCTCCACTTTGCAATAATTTGCGAACGCATGTAATTATTAATAAAAGTGAAGAAAATGTTATATAGCTATTTCTTTCAAATTGGACTCATTAGCAAATCAAACAACGAATCTGAAATTTAATAATTTCAGTAAGACTTGGTGGGTATTGGAAAATCGTATGGATGACCAGAAGCAGTTGTTTTTGTTTGCATTCCCAGTTCCAAGTAATGAGGATCATTTAATCGATCGGTAATTGATTATTCATTCACAAGTAGTGTTTATCATGTTTTTGTTGAATTTTTATTGGGGTATAAATTATATTCAAGCTTCTTCCATACGTCGAAAATAACAAGAATGGAGCTTAGCTTTAGTTGTTATTAGCTATTGTTGTTGCAGTGATAAAATCTTTCCATCTTTTGTATTTTTTGCAGTATAAAGGAGGCATCAAGTGCTCGGAATCAGCATGGCGCTGTATCAACAGCAGCATTAGCTAACATTGATGCTGATAGTATTGCACAGCTTGTTGTTGGCCCGAATCATGTAGCATTTCTATTCAGGGTATGCATTTATTTTCAGTTTTTTATTCAGTAATTTTATTCAAAAATAAGAAATACTCGAACTTTTATCGATGAGAACTGGATTTTGTTAATACTTGAATTTTTTCAAAATTGTTCATAGTATGAAGTAAAACATTCTAATTATATTTTATAGTGTGGTCGCGTTGCTCGATTAAAATACACTTTAACAACTGCTACTAAAGAGGAAAACACTAGCGATGACAAAAACTCAACTGGAACAGGCGGAGGTGTCGGTTCGGCAAGTGGTGGTAGTGGTAGCGGACCTACAACAGGTAGCAGTGGTTCATCTACCAGTACTGGTTAGTTATTCTTTTCCAAAAAAAAAAAGGTCAAAAGGTTGGTTGGGCTAGCATTTCTTTATTTTTCCTCAAATTTGAAATGATCATTTTTTGCGTTGTTGTAATTTTAGTTTTCTGTTGTTTTCAGTATTAAGTCGTGGTGCAAAAATTAGACGGGTAATGATGGCAGCGAGACGGACAGCAGGTGCATTGGGCGAACGTGCGGGTGTGATTGTTGATCGAAGTCGACCGCTTGTCCCTCTTAGTGCCATTCCCGAAGATCTCATTGCTCAAGCCCAGGTGAATTGTTCTGGTCTGAGAAATGTGATCATTTTTGAATTCTGTAAATTGTGCATAAGAATGATAGAGTGATATTTTCTCTCATGTGGAATGATATTTTCTGTCTTAATCAATTGAAAATGAAAAATATCCTGATATTGCATTTGTCCTATTGTTGGCTTTTCTGTTTAAGGTTGTTTTACAAGGGAAATCACGTGAGGTTATTGTACGCGAGCTTCAGCGAACGAATCTCAATGTAAATGAAGCTGTAAATAATCTGCTCAGCCGTGATGATGAGGATGGTAATTGTTTCCTTCAGAATTAATTGCGAGTATAATTTTCTAGTTCATGCAAAAAACACATTTCGACCCTAAAATGTTGCTTTCAGGGGATGAAATGGATGAAGGTTCTGAAGCGTATCTCCCCGAGGAGCTTTTGTCGTTGTTGGATGCTGGATTGCGAAGTGATTCGCATGGGAGTGCCGTAATTGATGGTGACAATTTATATGCAAGTGGCGAAAGTTTTGATTATGTTGTAGCAAGGGATATTGCTCGAAGACGAGTAGATAGGGGTTAATTCATCCATAAATTTTTAACTGCTTAGTAAAAGAATAAGAAGTTATTGCTTTTTCACTACACATGAATCTTTTATTTTTCGTGATTTTTCTTACTGGATTTGACACTTTTATTTCAGATAAAAAAAGTGACAAAGCAAAAGAATTTTCTTCCGAAACTTATACGCGTTTAAAATATGACGAAAAATTGCAGTATTGGGGTAAAGAAACGGTGAGTTTGTTTTCATCCAAATTTGAAAATAAGGGTCTCACTGTTGAGTATAAACCTGGCGATTAGAGGATCCTTTGATGGTTGACGTTGTAAAATTTTGAAAGCAAAATTTAAAAGCATTTTCTCTGTATGATATTGTTTAGTTTTAGCATAACTTATTGATTTAGTCTTCCTTAACTTAGTCTTTCATCTTTCGACTCTGTTGAGTACTGTTAATGTTTCTGATTAACTTCTTTAACTGCAGGATATGTTTCCGACGGGTGTAACGAAGTTTGTGAAAATAGCTGCTATGAATAGTGAATTAATCGCTTTAGGCGATAATGGATTTTTCTATAGTTGGTCATGGAAGAATGACGGGCACGGTTCAATGACCGCGCACCCCTTTGGTACCAAGCTTTTGACTAATGTAAGTTGTACTGCACAGATTTTTGTTCTGTAAAGATTTTTTTTTGTTGATGTATAAGATTGTATGAATTATAATTGAATTATTATATATTATCGGCTTTATTTCAGGCACCGGATGAAGAAAAATTTGTAGATTTAGTATCATGTGCATATCGTGCATGTGTTGTAACAAATATGAATAGGGTAGCATCATTTATGGATGGCGAAGCATGTGGTATGAAGGTAGCTAACGTGTTATTAACACCACTAATGGAAATACCGGATGGCGAAAAATATGCATCACTATACGTATGTCCGATGTATTGTCTAGTGAAGACACAATCGAATAGTTGTTATTGGTGGTACTTTTTTTTTTGTCCTATTATTTGTTAAATGTCACCATTTTTTGTCGTTAATTTTTATAATATTAGGAGAAAATCCCGTTTTTAGATCCATTAAAGCTTGTTTGGTGCATATGGTTGTTGTTGGTGCGGATATGAATTGCTCTTTTTCTAGGGGTATTTATCCATTTAATGAAAGACGGAAATTATGGGAGCGGATGCGTTCAAAAGCGCGTCGCAGTTCAAATCTTGCATCACCCGAAGTGGTTGAGGGTTGCGAAGTTCGGACGAAGTCACATCCTATATACACGACAGGCTCAATTGCTTTGAACTTCAGCTCTGGAACACCAATGGTTGGAGCTTATTTTGAAAAGCTTGTCATCAGCGTAAAGGCATTTCAATTAAGCAGGCTAAAAACTGGTTCCATATTTTTCGCAAAATTTTAAGCTTGAAATTTCAATGGTTTAAATTGGATGAATGGAATTTTATTTAAAGGTTGGCGCTTTAATGGAATCAGCTTGGACGCTGTCTGAATTATGTAGGTTTCGAGTAATGACACCAGCACAGCACGATGAGAATAGCGATGATGACGGTTCGTGCCTCAATTCTTCTGCGCATCAGTCGACTGATAAAAAAGGCTCCTTAAATCGTGAGTTAATTAGAATGCATCTCAGCTGCTCCTTATCCCCAATAAAATTCTCATATTTATTATGCTTGTACTCCAATGTGAAAAAGAACGCACCGAGTTAATTGGTCGATTCAAATTGGTGCAAATCTACAATATGCGCGTTTTGACATTATATGAATGGTAATGTCTGTGAGTTTTTTAAAAAGCGAAAACATTGATGAAAACTGTAACACCAAAGTGAAGCGACAATTTTTGTGGGTTAAAATTGAATTTGTGGGATTTTTATAATACATACCTAGTTGACTCTCTTCACGCTTCTTAGTTGCATTCTAATTTGCCATGTAGTAGTAGCCTTTTTCTTTAAAAGAAAGAAATTATTGCTTCTATTTAGTTGAACTCTAAGGTTATGTGATGCAATTCACGCTTGGACTTTGTCTCGCTTCACTTTTCAGTATTTTGGAAAATTACATATTTTTTACTTCGGAATGGCTGATTCCATTTCCACGTCATCTTTCAGTGTCAGCTATATTTGTATGGGTAAAATTTTGTATATTCTTAATGAAATTTTGAAATGTCAGACTTCTTTTTTTTTGCTACGAAAAATCCATGTTTTCAGAATACGGTAAAAGGCCACGTGAGGAGCAGAAAGGAAATACTTATCGGGAAACTGCATGGGCACTTAATGAAGTCATATTCATCCACAAAGAAACCTCACAGGATACAGCCATCGTGAAAATTGTATGCTTATTTCCTTTTAAGACAAAAATTAGCGATGATTTCTTGTTTTTTTTTTATCTAATTATATATATATATATATATTCATTATAGTGTTATGAAGCGCAAACTTAATCGACTTTTTGAGTTCTATAATTGATTTTTTTTTTTTTTTTTAGGTTGATGGAGCATATTGCGGAATTGTATATAGACCGGTTGTCTCTAATGATTGTGGTGACGCAGTCAGTCAAAATCAAGATGCATGTGATTTAGGAAAAATTCGACTAATGCGCAAAGATGATCTTGTTGTTGTAACACCAAACAGCAAAATACCTTGCTGTCCTGAGAATTTTCAAAAGCATATGCAGAAAATACAACTGCCGGGCGGTATATCAATGAAAAAAGTGCACTCTTTGACTATAGACAATACCGGTTTGTCGGTTTTCATAATTTGTTATGTGAGATGTCTTCCATTTTGCTTGCAGGCAATGAATTGTATAGTGATGTGAAATTAAAATTATATCAGTAAATCTCAATAATTTCAAAGATTTCTGTATAATATTTCCAAAATTTTTATATTATGATCAGAGGTGATAAATTAAGTTATTCCTTAATTTGAAAATGTAAAAAACGAAAGAAAATTTCGACTGAGCTGTCATCCAGTGTTCTTTTTTTTTCCTTTTGCATAACCTTGTTTTTTCTGTCATCAATTTGTGATGTACAATTTAGGTTTACGATTATTGATCGAAAGACGTGGACGACTTCATTTAATTCGTATCAGTGTATTTGGTAAAATACAAAGTGATCACGTCTTGCCAGTGAATGTTTCAGCAGTATGCAGCGCTGGATTGCATTTGCCACGACTTGAGAATTACGGAGATGTGTGTTGATTTTTTCAATTTTTTAAAAATTTTTCTTCAATATGTAGTATTTTCGACTTTTTTTCTCTTTTTTTACCTTAATTACTCGTGAAGTGTTGATTGTGCTTGTGGTTTGTACATCAGCGAGATTTAGGAAATGATCATGATGATAAGCGACAGTAACGGTTCAATAATACCGATGGTGCGTGATGCAACGGGAGGGTTTCGTGAGCCAGTGTATTGCGCTTTACCCAAAATACATAATTTTGCAGTTGGTTTACGGCCATTGGATTCTGGTGATACTGAAAATACTTCAACAACTACCAATGATGACTGTACGTATGGTTTTATTAAAAGAAGGAAATTATGTGCCGAAGTTTGTCACATGGATTTGTAACATTAACATTTTTTATTCCTTCACTTTCTTAATTCTTTTTTTTTTTTTCTTTGATAATATGGAATAAGAATCAGTATTAACAATTTTTTCCAGCATCATCAACATCACGGAATGCAAATCGTACTGGAATTATGGTAACTTTAATTGCCCCATCACCTTCAAGCATTCGTCCTCGAATACCATCTCTAATGCAGACTGTTTTGTACTGCGATTTACAGGGTGTGGATTTGGTGCTTGATGCACTTTCAAAAGAAGCAGGTAGCTTTATTGAGCTTTTTTCATTTTATATAAATTTTTAATAATTTTTATTTAGCTGTCAAATTAAACATGTATTTACTGCTTGTGGCTACAGTCAGCAAAATTTATTGAAATATTCTGATTTATATGCTTTTGATAACACTGTAACCTTTGTTTCTGCTTGAATAACTTCGTTAACTGCTTTTTTTAAATAAGATAATTAATATCATTTCAAAGATGCTGTCTTATAAGTCATTTCTAGATCGTGAGGTTGTAAAAACCGAGATTTTGAGCTCTCGTGCAGATGGGAATCGAACCATTCTTCATGCGGCAGTCATGAACAGTTTTGCAACGACTAACAAGGAAGAAGCAGACACAATGGAAATTTCAGTTGATACAGAAAATAAACCTTTGCAACGTTTAACAGGTAGACGAAATTGTATTTACTGTTTTTTTACTGGAGATGCATCCATGTGATGATGCTATAACTTTTTCTGTAAGATAACCAAATAAGAAAATTTAGCATTATTTGCTGTTGTGTACTGTTTTATATGAAATTTTTTGACTGCAGCTATCGATATGTCAGCTGCGGAAGAAACTCGTACCGCATTTGATAGCCGCTGGCAACGTATGTTAAGACGCCATGGAGCTAATGCAGAGTTTGTTTTTTTATGTCCTTTTTTGCTAAGATTTTGTAATTTGTTCAAAAATCCTGGAGCTTTTGTTTTGATATTTAAAATAATAGATTGAAAAAAAAAAAAATCGATGATATTTCAGAGAAGAAATGTTAATACGAGAATTAATGGCAAATAATCCATTGCGGAGACCAGGTCACGATGTTGGCAACATGGAAGATGGTGAGTTTTTTCATGATCATTAATAAACTGTGCTACATTTTCTTTGTTTCGGTTTTTTTTTTTTTTTTTTTTTTAAATTGTTGAATCATATATGAATTTATATTCACAATTGGTTCTGTTCACTGTAACGATGAAGTAATATCATTTTTAGTGTTGGCAGATTTTGCGAGGAGCTTGAAAGATGCGAAAAAATCATCTGTTTTCATAGAAGATATGAAAGAAGAAGGTCCTTTTCATATATTATTAATTCTGTAAAAGATTTTTAATCCTTAGGTTTCTACTAAATTTTATGCGTTTTGCTGTTTTCGGCTGAAGATTCATCAGTAGATTTTGACATATTGTATAGGGGAATTTTGTTCAGTATCCATGCCAATTATTGTTAATGCGAATAATGAACCGAAAAGTCGACAGTGCAACTCAATAGAAATTGTGAAAACTCTTTGCTATAACTCTACTGTGGCACCATTTCTTCTCGAATTGCTAACGACGAAGTAATTTTGTAGCTGTTTTGTATTATCATTAATGCTGTATGTAAACACTTTAGAATGATAGTAAAACAAGTGAGGCAAAATGTATAGGGATTTTTGGTTGTAATTTATAAGAATAGCAAAAATTTGAAGCATTTACCTTCTGATTATTTTTTTTTTTTTTTAATGATTCTTTTTTGCGAAGCGGTTCTGATATGAAAAAAATCAAAAATTCGAATACCTGTTTTTGCAAAACATTCCAGAGGCGTTGTGCGAGGAAGCATTTTATGACTAACAACCTGATCAGGTCTTTAAATAAATACAGCAAATACTTTTAGTGACTACAGAGATATTCCCCATTATGTATTCACTTAGTACTATAATTCATATAAATTATTTAGCGTGAAAACCTGCTTAAAATGTTAGTGTCTGATGTTGAACAAAAGTAATTTGTTAGTTTTTTAATTTCAGAGATATTAATGGACATACACCTTTCATGTGCGCTGTTAACTACAGAGCATATACGGCTGCCTTTATCCTGTGGCTTGCTGCTGAAGAGTTACAGAAAGAAGCACAAATCGCTGGTCAATTTTTTTTTTTTTTGAAATGATTAATGGCTGATTATAACTGCATAATTATGCATACTTGTATTCTCACCTTTGTTAGTGAAATCATAACTTTTGAGTTGATCTAGTTGCAGGTTCTCAAGGCAAGAGACAGTCAGCTGATGCAATTTTAAATTCTATTATATATCCAATAGGAAGTAGACCGGATGATTCACCTTTATTCATGCTTTGTATGAATGATACGTGTAGCTTTACATGGACCGGTGATGAACATATCAATCAGGTTTATATGAATGATTTTTTTATCAAAAATAAATTCATTTTATTTTATCCTTTGATATCCATTTCTTAAAAATATTTCTTTTTTTTTTCATATCGATTAATTGTGATAGTGATTTGAAACTATTATTACAATGGCATTCAAGATGAGTTTAATTGGTTCTTTCTTCTAAAATATAAATGAACTTTAGGACATATTTGAATGTCGAACATGTGGATTAGTTGGTACATTGTGTTGCTGTACGGAATGTGCTTATACTTGTCATCGCAATCATGAATGCAGGTTATAACTTGCTTTTTTGCTTTATTTACATTTATTATATGCATTAAATTGTTTACTTTGGTTTTCATTATAAAAAAAAAAAAATTGTAGACTGAAAAGGACGTCTCCAACAGCTTATTGTGATTGCTGGGAGAAGTGTTCCTGTCGAGCCCTTGTTGCAGGCAATACACCACGTCGAGAAAAACTGATATCCGTCTTGCTCAACAGTACAGATCTCATTCATCGTACGAATTCTAGGTATTTTTCTATGTTAGATTCTTGTTATTCATAAATATGAACTAGTTATTGAATCCAAATATTCAAATACTCTTGTTGTTCGCTTCATTAAAACTCGCTTTGAGGATCTCGAATAGTCACCGATTTATTTGATTGAGTGAAAATAAAAATCAAGTCATCTCTTTATGTATTTCGAAGAAAAGCTTTTAAAATTCAATAATCTTAATTATTTTAAATCTTAAATGATTTTTCATCCTCTGCCCATTATACTTATTCCACTGTGATTGCAGAGGAGAACATTTATTATTGTTTTTGGCACGAACAGTAGGAAGACAAATTATTGAACAGGAACATTACCAGCGCCGAATGATGAAAAAATCTCAGGGAGCTACTGGTCAGTTGAATTTTTTCTAATTTAGCTTTATTTGTCCGCATTTTAAATTTATTTTATCCAGTTTTTTTCATTTTTAATGTGATTTCCTTCAGATACCACTCCGGAGCATGATCTGGAACCACCGAAATTTGCACGCACTGCTTTCGCAAAAATGTTGGCTGACTGGCGTGCAGTTAAAAGCCTGATAATGTTGGGTGTTAAGGGTGTGCAAAAGTAAGTGATAGTTTTAACATGAATTGAAGCTATTTTCAAATTTCTTAAATTTTTTGTCCCTTTTAATGGAAGTATTTACAGTGATGCGCTAGTGGTAGAAGAAGTGTTTCATTTAAATCAACAACATGGATGCTCACATCTTGACAAATTTGCTTTTATTTTATTAGCGAAATGCTCAGAAACTGTAAGTTGAAACTGAAAAAAATATATGGATATTCAAAGTTGTTTATAATTACATTTTGTCTATAATTTTAAACAGGCTTAATTTAAGTGAATTTGCGTGTTTTTATGTTTATTGTTGTTTTAGCATATTGATACTTTACTGAATACATTGATATCAGAAGCAAATAAGAACAACGAAGATATGAAAAGAGACCCCGACATCGATTCTGTTATTTCACGCTTTGTGCGCGCAGTTATCAGGTTTGTGACAGCTGGTTGTTTTATGATTTATATTGCTATTCCAGTAAAATAATGCCATTATTTGCATGAGCGATCATATTTTTTTACGTTCATTATTTTGAGGATGTTTATGCTTTTGACATTGTTGTCACCGGCAGCCATAACAGTTGCCACAGCTACAGCAAGTGGTATTTCACAAGTGGTTGCATCCGGAAACACTCCACCAAGGTTTGTTAGCATGAATTTGATCCTTGTCTTTGAAATCTTATTAGATGTACATATTATGATGAATTTACTTTTATCTCATTTGTTATTGAAATTAAATTATTGTAGTGCAAAGAGTTTTACCTCTTTCAGACGAATCTTTGGTCCTGGCTTGCATACTGTTAGCTTTACTGGCTTGTTATCACTCGTTCGATCGACAAGTGGACGTGAAAGTTCTGCCGCTAAAGAAGCAAAGAAGAAAAAGTAAGCTCAATTTATTTACTAATTGATTTGAATATATTGAATAGGGAAAGTTTTTAGCATTTTATATGATATGATAGGCATATTGCTATGCAATGAATGGTGTAAGTGAAATTAGATCTTTGATTTTAGCGTGACTAATTTTGTTTTGAAATGTCGCCGCATATTTCAAACTTTGTTGAATTATTCGATCAACGAACTGTGCAATATGGCTGATTCTTTGATTGCTCCTGTGCGACTTGGAATAATCAAACCTACTTCAGTCATTGCTCAGAATATTACCAGTGATCCTCTTGATGTTTGTTTTGTTTTATCATACAGAAAAAGGAAACTTCATTTATTTTTGCTCTCTTCTTGGCTGTATAATTTCTGATATTTCTTTTTTTTTTTATCTGCGTAATATTTGCAGGTGATAGAAAAGTTTTTGAATTCAAAAGTCGATTTGTCAACAGTTAATACGGCCGGAGATGATATTGCTGTAGTTAAGTTCGGTCGAAAACGAAAGGTAGCTTTTGTTCTATTTTCTATTAACTCTTTTTATTACTCTGAACGCTGAGCTAGCGATACTCTGATTGTGTCTACATTGTTCGGCTACATTATCAAAAAGTATACAACATAATGTCTTGGCAATCTTTTGGAAAAGAGCATTTTTTTTCCTGTATTTGGCATGAAGGGTAAATTGATGATTATAATGTCACAGTTCAATAATATTTCGATATTCTATTTTAGCGTAGTACACGAAGAGAAGGAGACCATGGTGATGAAGAGATACGAGAAGCGGCGCAACCGCACAGTGCACCAGAAAGTGACAATTCAAGCGATTCAGATAGTGATGGTAATCTTTTATTTGGATTTAAATTAAATAACTACGGATTGAACTAATTTGTTTGCATTTTAGTTTGATTATGTGTAATATAGTTGATTACTCTAACATTTTTATGAATTTCATTTATAAATCTTTTTCAGAGTCACGTCCTACACGAAGTCAAAGTTATGTCGGTGAGGTGTACAATGCACTTAGAAACGGTAAGTAATCTTTGCATCAAACTTTATTAATTTTTTTCACAAAATCCTACCAAACTATCATTATGCAGAATAGGAACATGACAAAAATATTAACACATACATTTTAATCAGCAAATTCTTGCAACTTAGATGGGATGTAATTTGATAGTTTTATGCATCCGTTAAGAGTTGGGTTCGTGTAATTTTTATCCGAGGAGTTGGATTACCATATGTTATGCAAGTAGTAACTGACGGAAAACACGGGAACATGTTACTCTGATCAACTAATTCACTTTTAAAATTACAGATATCTATGATAGTCTTCCAATGAAAAGTGTGGGTAGATTAGACTTTTCCGAAAAAAAAAATCATATAGTGCATTCTAAAGCAAATTTCATTATTCCAGAAGCATCATCCGGTAACTATGATGGCGATGAACTATTCAGTATGTCTGAGGAAGATCCAGAGGATGATTCAGTAGAATCAGTTAGTTCACCAGCTGAGCAAGATGATGATCCAACTAGTCAAGGCAATGATCCTAACATTGATGAGGAAGATGAGGAAAATGACGATGATGGAAATGGTGATGATGGTAAATTGTTTACGTTTCTTTTTGTCTTTCAACGTTGTGGAGCATTTCAGATTCTCTTCATATTTATGAATAATGTTGTTTGATAAATTAGAAAAGTGATGCCGAACGAAAACTCTGTAACGGAAATTTAGAGCAAGAATTCGGAAATGAGGAAGACGAAGGTAATTACGAAGAAGGTGATGAAAATGAAAATGATCGTTATGAACAAGAAGGAGAACATGAGGGTAACGAAGAGGGAAATGGTGATGGTGAGGATGAGGAAATGCAGGTGCAGCCAAATGAGGAAGATGATGTACCAGAAAGTGGTGATGGTACTAGCGATGGAACATATGGTTACCATTTTGCCTCATTCTCACTGCATTTGGCTTTTCATTTTTACGACTTTTCTCCCACTTATACTTTTTAATTTTTTTTTTCTTTTTTTTTTTACATTTATTTTTACAGGTGTAAGATCACGACATGTACGACCTAATGAACGCAGAACGGTTTGTTTTAACTTTTCTGTCTTTTTTTATTTTGTTCCTATAAAAATTGGCGTAGCATTATAAAATAACGAGTTTTTGAGTTGCATGGAAAATCTTTTCATATGTTACACATCAGCTGCCCTTGTAATTAGAAACCGTGATCTAAGATTTTGAACTTTAAAGATCATGTTAATCGTAATTTTGTCTCATTTTTTTTCTCTCCTGCAGAACCAGTCATCGCGGAACACACGAAGTACGAATAATCTAGCTGGTGAACAACAGCAGGATACAGCAGCACCTACTGACTCCAACAGTGCGTCACAACAGCGTGTTCGAAGTATAATTTTCTTGTGTTGATTTATTTCTCACTTCAAATATTCTTTCTACTTATTTCACTGAAAAGAATTCTGCTTATTTCAGATAATGAAGCTAACAATGCGAATCGTAGTGGTGATGCCACTTCGGGAAGAGTATCCGGCGTAACAAGTGGACGACATAATAGTAGGCTATTCTACTAATTTTAACCAGTCTGCCTGGACATTTTTGTTGTAGATTTATTAATCTTCTATTTGCCAATATGTATTTATTCTGTTATATCTATTTGTATATCACTTCAGCTTTACTCGTGCCAATATTTTTCATTTACCAGTGCTTCAGACTTCAGGAGTTCATTTTTCTACTTCCTCTAATTCGATTATTATTATTTAGCAATACCTCTGCAATGGGCAATGCGTCGTATGGCCTCGAATGTTGAGCGATCGACCGCAGCACGACGTAGTGATAACAGCGAAAATCGAGGTTTTCTTTTCATTTGAATGTAGAATAACACATCGTGGGTTATGGTTGATTTATAGTTAGAAGTACAACGATTTTCCCATTCTCTACAGTTCTTAACAATTTGCGAATTTCATTTGACTGGCATGGAATTTTCTCGTAGTATTATAAGTTAAATAAATCTAGTTTAGAGATTCTTGCCTCTTTTTAGACTATATTTTACTTTCGTGTTGCTTTTAAAATCATTTTGAATTTATAGAATCAAATGCAGGCTCTTTGACAAACTCAAAACATTTGCGAGAATCATCAGAAGATGCTGCCACTTCAGTAACTAAAACAAATCAGCAACTTGCTTTATCATTTTCACTTATTATCAGGTTAAAGGTTGATTTGTGAATAGTCATTCTATTCATTGGTTTTATCTTCCATACTTTCACTGGGAAAATTAATGAAATTTCGTCTTCGATTTTGTGATTGTTTTTTAAAAAAAGGAAGAAAAAAAGAAAGAAAAAAAAACCAATGAATAAAAACTAATTCTACACTAGTTAAGAAAATTGTTAAAAACGATTTTTTAAGGTTGATTGTTGACTTACTGCCAGTGCTTGTGGATCACCGCGAGTTTGTGAAAAGCTCATACACTCTTATACCAAAAATGCTGGAGTTGAATGACGCTGTTGTAATTGCAGTTCGTGTAAGATTATAATTTGATTTCACCATTTATTTCCTGCAAAAGATATTGTAGAAATTAAGAGTTTATTAGAAATCTTTAGGATATGCTTATTACTTCATTCTTTTACTTTCTATTGTATAATGTTGCATTTCCTTCATATATTTTATTCTGTTGCTTAACTGTATTTAGCGATTAATAGAAGAGCGTTTGTATGTTGTGTGGCAGTGGATGGAAACAGTTATGGATCGAACTGAAGCTCAATTGCGTTTTGGAAATGCATTGATGGCATCACCAACTATTGCTGCTGTGCTTCGTAAAGAGAAGAAACTATCCCTTAAAAAGGGTGACGATCGTGACACTGAGTATGTTTACATCTTTTTCTTTTCTTATTTTCAAATTCATTTGGAGCTATATAGCAATTACTTATTTTGTAGAAGGCATAGTCCTCGACCTGGATCAGGAAATCATTCCAGTACACCGGTTCCTAGACAAGATTACACCCCTGGATCTACTACTGCAAATAGCAAAAAAGGTAAATTTTATATGTTGTATTAGTCTTCAAATTTAGTTTTAAAATTATTTTGTTTATTGGTATCTCTGATTGTTTTCCTTCTTTGCAACTTGGGAGAAAGAATTTCAGATGAACAGAATTCAGATTCAACAGCATCACTGGAAGACTTCTTTGACTATGTAACAGCGCTAATGCGTTCTCATGCTTCTGAAAACGGTGATGATGTTCCGATCATCGAGTTTAATGCATTGAAAGCTCTAGCTTTTGTGGCTGATGCATATTTATCGTTAATAGATATGTTGGAAAAGTTAGACGCTAGAATTGCATTGGGCTTAAGTTCAGTTGAAAGCGTCACGAGTGACAAAGAAGTTATCGACATGTTTCAAAATGATGAAGCTTCCGTTAGTTATTCTTGATTCTACAATTGCTAATTAAAAAGAGAGCTTAAATCGTACAGTTGAAAAAATATGCTGAAATGAAGTCTCTCGTTGCATTTTGTTCGTTTATTTTTTCTGATTTTTTCCTTTTTAAGTAGAGTAACATTCTCATTAATATTGATTTATAGGTTGCTGACGGTAGCAAATCAAATGTGCAAGCAGGTGCACCAATAACCGATTTTTTCCAGGTACTTCATTTTACTCGTATGGTGTGGATGGTGTGGACCTTTCTCCTTTCTCTGTTTGAATTTTTTTTTTTTAGATTTCACACTTATTTCAAAACCAAAATTGGTTCTAAATTTGTTCTAGCGTTCCAATTCACTTCTTTATCCGGGTATTGCATCATCATCTAATTACCATGCATTTGAACATAAATGTGTCGATTCTTTGGTGCTAGCCGAACGTCCACAGCTTTTGAGACCAGATATTGAAAAAGAGGAAATGTTTGGGTTACCGATAAAGCATAAAACTATTTCTGAACACAGGGTTTGTTTTGTAAATTTACAGATGACAAATTTACAGATGACATGCAGTACTTTATTAATTTATGATGCATTTTATGCATTCTCACCATATATTTCGATATAATTATGCGATTTTCACTTTCGAATACGGAATGTGTCTTTTCACTTGTTGTTGATATAAAATTGAGAATTAAACTGAAGTAAAAAGAAAATAAGACGAAGTAGGAAAAAAGCATTTGAAATTTTAGTAACACAATATACTTTTTATGGGTGCATATTACTTACAGAAAAATGTTCGAGAACACGGTGCAAAGTATCCAGCACATCAAGGACTGGCTACTCCATGGTCTAACTATCAGGAACTGTTGCCTATAAATACAAGTGGTTTGTCTTCTACGTTTTTTTTGTAGATTAGCATTTAGGATATTGAACATGACTGAGAAAAATTACCATAAATTATCAAAGTTACTTTTATTCACTCTTCTGATATCTACTTTTAGAAGAGAAAGAGATTCCAATAAGTGGACTTTCACGCCCCAATGTAATCGTTCATTCGAAGAATATGTCTAATGAACCAACAGTGCAAGGTTAAAATTTTCCAACTTAACAGTTATATATTTTTTTATATATGGGCTTTTTTCATGTTTCTTGCTTTAACTTAGTGGTATCATAATTCTAGGGAAACGTCGGCGATTATGTTCGTCATCTGCTGTCCCACCACCTCGTGGTTTTGTTGCAATACAATTGGAAAGTTTGAAAAGCGCGTTACATCGTAGTAATCAAAGTCATGTGCACAAATCATTGGCACGATGGAAGAACACTTTAAATTTGATGGCAAAGGTAAACGATGTTTGAAACATGTTCAGGATGTGCCAGATAACTGCTTAATATTTAGTCAGTTTATCTGGCTCCTTCTGACGTTGACATTTCGTGTTTAAACATTTATGTGTTTTATTTACAAAGAGTTTGAGTTGATATTCAAGTGATTTTGTAGCTCGAGCTCAAGTGTAATAATTTCAGGCATTTAGCGATCAACTTTTAATCGCCTGTGGCGGTGAAGTTACGGGTTCAATGCTTTTGAGTGAAATGGCCGGTTTTTTGGTGCGTGAAGCACAGTTTCGCAAGAAGATGGAAAAGTTTAAGGCAGCACAAAGCAAGGATATTGTTTTCGAGGTTTGTTTGCATATAATTAGGGAATCAAATTAGGTGAATGTTTATTGATCCTCCCCCCGATCATATATATATGTCATCTCTTCATGAATTGTATCAAAAGAAAAAAGGTAAGTAAAGGAATAATACAGAATTTTGAATTTTGAGTTAAGAGGTTTTGGCAGAAAGTCGATTTTTTCGGATCCTTCAGCTTAGTGCAGAAGTGACTAACTAGTTGAAAACTAGTTGAAGTCTAGAGTAGAGTAGCAAGATTATAACCTATTATGAACAGTTATGAGCGATTCATTATCATTATCATGACATAAATCCGCTATACCATTTTTTGCATAATTCGATCAGATTTGGGTGATTTGGACATATAATTATAACATTAGCTTAGTTGTTTGAAGTTTCGTGAGTCAATCACTTCTGTTAAGATGGATATCTGGAAGATGTTTAAATAGAAGTAGTTATATCGAGGAGATAATTCTTTAGATTGAACGAGACAAGCATGAAATGATTGCACAGACAATTCGTCAATTGAACGTGCATTATTCGCGTCGTGTTAGCAGTTCGTCGTCGGTAAATTCGACACAGAGCAACAGTACGGATTCTCCTCGAGAGTTTGGTTCTGTAAGATCGGTGAGACTGGTTAATCTTTCATGGGCTAGCGCAAGCAATAAAGACGATTCTGATGCACCTCCTCTTGCATGTCATAAGGTCAAATTTTCCTGTAGTTCGTTGAAATTCCTCAAATTGTAATAGAATTATTGCCGTAAAGAATATACTGTACTTCCTAAACTGCTGAGTAAACTAAATCGTCTAAACTTGGACCTGAAATTTGGAAGATCCAGAAACCGTTCTTTTACTCGTTTTGTTCAACTTCCATCTTCATTTCAGGTAAAAGTTACTTTCAAAAATGAGCCTGGAGAAGGAAGTGGTGTAGCAAGAAGTTTCTATGCAGCTATTGCTGATGCATTCTTGACAATGAAACGTTTACCAACAGAAACACAAGTTTTAGCTGCTTTTGGCAGTTCACCTGGTGATGTTCCACCATCGTCGGGTATGATTTATTTGAACCGATAAAATACATTTTTGAATTATATTTGTTATGAGTTTTAGTAGGAGCAGATTATAAGTGAGTGATGCTCAGAATTGACAAAGTTTAGGAAATTGAAGATTTTAGGTAATCGTGGATCTGGTCGCGGAAGTTATCGTGACCGAAGTGCAATTCTTCTGAATAGTTTGTCAGTGGCTGGAAGACGTCGAAGTTTGAGAAAGTAAGTTATTCGGAAATAGGTTTTGATGTAAAATTTGAAGGATATGAAATGTTGAAAAAATTTTTGATAATCTACTAAAATAATGCTAATTGAAATGTGTAGTAATCTAACTAAAAGAAATAATGGAAGATTTCATTCTCAGAACAATATTTTCAGTCGATATACTCTATCTGTTTCTTCTCCTTCTTATTATTCACGACATCAGCCGCACCTGAATGAACCATCAGGTGATAGTGAGCCAGTCGCAGCATCTAATATTGATAATTTGGCAACTCCTCAAGCTCCAGCAGCCTGGGAGCCAGAGCGAGAAACATTAGGCGAAAGATTGTTGGCAAGAGTTCGAGCAATACGGCCGGTAAGATATCTGGAAGTCGTTTGTGTTTTTTTTTTTTTTTTCAAGTTTAAATCCTCTCTAATGTTAACAGAGAACGATCGTTGAATAAGGATTCAAAGTTTAAGAGAGATTCTTTGAAATTATGTGTTTTATTATATTTACAATTATAAATATTCAATCGCTACTTGTTGAAATTAAATATTGCAGTTTCATTTCTTTTTTGTGTGTGTATTTACAGCAGTTATGTAACAAAATTACGGGCATGTTGCTGGATCTTCAGCCACACCAACTAATAACGATACTTGCCAGTGAAGAGCTTCTTCGTGCCCAAGTGGAAGAAGCATCTGAAATGGTTCAGGCAGCTGGTCTAGGAAATAGTGATGGAGGAGATCGTGCTAATGAAACAGCATCCTCGAATCGTGGACAACCAGCACAAGCAAAAAGTGTACCAATAGTTCGTGCTTCTAGTACACCAAATCTCAATTGTATGAATTTGAAATGTGTTCTTATTGATATATTATTCATTTGTACTGTTTTATGTGAATTTGATTATTTGAGAATAGTTTTAAGACTAGATAATTTTCAGTGATAAAAAAAAAAAAAAAAAAAATCATTGAAGATGATACATTTGCTTTAATTGATGATAATTGAAATTTGATAAATGATTATGCATTCTGTATGGACGCATATTTATATCATCTGAATTTCAGCTGCCAATGATTCAGGGATAGTTAACATGGATGATGATACGGCACCATTGTTTTATCGTCCAAGTAGGACTGGCTATTATACACCAATTGCTGGTAAAAATTCGACGCATCGTTTAAATGCTTTTCGAAATGTTGGAAGGTGAGTGATTTCTGATTTCTGAATTCAGTCAAATTTTAAAAATATAGTATAAGCTAATGGTAATGTTTAAAATGCATGTTAAATAGGTTTTTCAGCTTCATTTCCTTCAACTGAACATATATGTATTTGCAGAATGATTGGAATTTGTTTGATGCAAATGGAAATATTCCCATTACATCTTTGCCGGCATGTACTGAAATTCATACTTGGACGTCCGATTAACTGGTTTGATCTTGCATTTTATGATCCTGTTTTGTTCGAATCAATGCGTACATTGGTATTTAACGAAGGCCCAACTCGACCTGAGCAAATTAACAGTTTGTATCTAACTTTCGAAGTCGCTGTACCTGAACAGGAGGTATAGTTTGATTTTCTTCTATTTTTGTTAATTTAAAAAAAACCACTCTTAGCATTAATATACTTAAAAGATGATAGAAAGAGAAGGTGAAAAATAAGTTGTAATAACATAAAATTGCATTCTTGTATGTTGCATTATGAATTTTTAGTTTTGTCAAAGGTTAATGGATAGATAAACTAAACAAAGTATTTTGATTAATTGCATTATGTACTTTACATGGCTTTATTAAGCTTTTATATGCCTTTTCTTGCTTATGAATTGTTTTTTTTTTTTTTTTCTCAGCGTCGTCAAGCCTTTTTGGTGTAGTTTTAAAGCATCATTGTTTTGATAATGTATGAGTGTGTTATATGTTATATATGCACTATCCAAATCAGGCATAGAGATATTTCTTGATGTATTTTCACAGTTTTTATTGTTTATTAAAGTAGTTTTTGGTTGGGGCTTATCAGCGATCCTTCGTAATGTATGGATGTAACTGTAGTTGCGAATTCTGCCTGGGTAGGTATGGCGAGATTTTCTGCATAATTCTAATTTGTTTTAAGTGAAAACATGATTGGCTACGTTCATTATCTTGCAAAAGAAATATGACGAGAATATAAAGATTGTAATTCATCAGCTCAGGAATTGTGCAGGACTACTTTGTTATATTTTTTTGGGGGGAGGGAGTAATAGTATGATTGCAAAATATAAGACGAGAGAAGATATGAGACTTTTTCATTTTCAGGGTGGAGGTACCATGGAATTGAAACCAGGTGGTGCAAATATTGCAGTAACTCATGAAAATGTTGTGGAATACATTTATCTGTTTGTGGAAGCACGAATGCTTGGAAATCATTTAAAATGTCTTGAGGTATATCTATTTTTCTTGTAATTTTTTTGCATTTTCTTTTTTTTTTTTTTTTTAACATGTTAAAATGGATGCGGGTTTTTCATCGATTTTGTTCTTTAGGCTATTAAGCAAGGTGTATATGATGCAATACCGCTTGGTTCGCTGGCAAATATGACTGCTGAGGATTTGCGTCTATTGCTTTGCGGAACACAAGAGGTTTTTTTTTTTTTTTTTTCTTGAGAGCAATAAATTTGTTTCTTGTTTTTCGATCGGTTTTCTAGCGCTTTTATCAGATGTATTCGATATTTATCAGTACAATGGTAGTAAAATGATAATTGTTGATTATATTCGATGCAATGGCTAAAATGAGGAATGATTTTTCTCTTCTGAAATTTCTGAGAATTTCACCGTTTTAATTTTAATTTAAACTTTCCTGTACAATAAAGAATTTAAAACTCTTCTACACTGATTAAGACAACTGGCATGTTTATTTATTTATTGGATTGATGTATGCATTCTTTTACATCCCTTATTCAGATCTCGATGGCTTTGATGCAAAGCTACACAACATTCACAGATGAAAGTTCAGCATCACCAGAACTACTTCAAAAATTCAAAGGATGGTTTTGGTCAATATGTAACAAACTCAATAATCAAGAAAAGCAGGTGAAATACTAAAATTCCTAAATTATTAACACACTGTTTTGTGGAATAATCATGTATCAGATTTCAGATTTAAGCTAAAATATTTGCGATTCTTGCCATCATTCTCCATTTTCTCTCACTTGGTTTGCTAATCATTTTTTAAAAGGTATATTTGATTTTTCAGGATTTGATCTTCTTCTGGACCGGTTCACCAACACTTCCGCCAAGCGAAGATGGTTTCCAACCAATGCCAACAGTGCTTGTGCGTCCTGCGGATGATCATCTGCCTACTGCTAATACCTGTATTTCTCGGTTCGTTCGTTACACTGTTTAGTAGTGGATAATGATAGTAAATTGATTTACTGATGGATTTTACTTAGCTTTTCGTAGAATTAAGTTTATAAATTGGGAACCGACTAGAATGTGCAAAATTAGGAAATGACGCTGTTTTGTGTTTTTTCTTTATTTTGATATAAGTGTAATTTCATCTGTAATCATTTCCTATTTAAACTTTCAGATTGTATGTGCCACTGTATCCGAGCAAAAAAGTGCTGAAGTCGAAGCTCTTAACAGCTATCAAAAATAAAAACTTTGGTTTTGTGTAAGATCAAAAATGTATTCTACCAATACGCAATTTTTTTTTCTCGCAGTTTATTTACTTTCTTTGTTTTAATCAAAAGCCTGTTATAAATTAACACCATTTTCTCATGTAACTGATTTCTTCCAGCTTTTTGATTGGTCTTTTAATTAATTAATTTCATCTGCTATCAGACTTTTCATAAATTTTTTTCATATCATTAGTGTTTAATGCTCAAAAATGGAAGATCTTTATTTTGGCATTTTCAATGTTTTAATTCAAGTTTCGATTTTTTTTTTCTAAAACTTACGCTATCGATTAGTGTGTAATTCTATTACTGCTTATTAATTCATAATTTCAAGACTCATTATTGAATTTTTCAAAAAGCTGGAAGTGATCAATATTATGTTGAAACACCATTCTATTTTATCATGTATTTTAGAAAAGTGCGATTTTAAAAAATAACTGTTTTGAATGCAAGTGGTGTTAATTGCATAAATTTATGCCTATTATTAATGAAACTTTACGCAGATTGCACGTGTCTCTTGCTTATTTTTTGTTTTGTTTTTTTTTTCTTTTTTTTTATTTTTTGTTTTTTCAATGGATCAACATATTCAGCAAATTTTGAAAGTCAAAAAAAATGCTATAAATTAGTAACAAAACTTATTTCAGAAATCATCTGTTTTGTTTAGATGAAATTTAGTTTATGTATAGAATTAAAAAAAAAAAAAAAAAATTACCAATGAGATGATAATTACAAAAAATAGTGTACTGTGTGAGTAGAAATGATAACTCTTTTATTTAACAATAACTTCATATGAATTAGAAGTATTGGAAAGTAAAGGAGAAGTAAAACATTGGAATATATCAACATTTGAAAAAAGAAAAAAAAAAAAAAGAAGATACGATCGAACAAAGCAAAAGAACCTGAGCGATATGAGAGTGATGATGATTGTGAGGTAAGGAGGTTAGAGCAATGGACAAATATTTTTCATATTTCTTCCTGATTTTATCACTTTCAAATTTTTAAAAGAAAACAAGTTTTCCTGAAAAAAAAAAAAAAAAAAAAGAAAGAAGGAAAAATTATATAATACAATAATAGTACATCCATTTAACATTTGTCAGCCTTTCTTATTATTTTAAAATAATTTTATATAACATTGCACAAATATTCAAAATAGTTCAAAGTTTAAAGGCTAAAAGATTATAAAACAGATGTAACTAATAATTGTTATAATTTCTGTATCAAAATTTATTTTATTTTATTTTTTTTTAATTTTTTGTTTTATTTTGTATAAACATTTTAAGACAAAAAAGAAAAAATGTAATAATAATTAATTACTTTCATTAACATTTAAAATGATTTTAAAAAAAAAAAAAGAATACGATGAAATACGTCGGCGATTTCGGTTATCGACGATACAATTCCCTGAGTTGATGATGATGATGATGATGATGATGATGATCAAAGTAACCGTATAATATCACCACGTATTTGAAAAAAAAATAATAATAATAACAATAATAATAATAATAATAATAGTAATAATAGTACAATAATAAAATGAGCGGAAAATTTTAGGAAAAAAAGAAAAATGATAAAATGAAAAAAACAAAGAGAAAATGATAAATTTGAAATTAAGTAATTCTGAATTTTTAATTGGAGACACATACGGACAAAAAACTGAGATAGTCAAGCAAGTAGAAGAAGGAAACACTCTGAGTTCATACATTTGAAGATGAAATTTTAGTGATATTAAAAAAACAAAATATTTACAATTTAAAAAAAATAACATTTTATTTTTCTGGAAAACTTATTATTATTAATAAAAATTTTGTCAAAATAATTTTTATCATTTTTCTTTTCTTTCTTTATTATCATTATCATCATCAAAAAAAAAAAATGCTACAAAAAATTTTATTAAATATGAATGATAAAAATTTAATTTTTGAATGTTTCAAAAAAAAAAAAAAAATTTATTTATTAAATAATTATTGCTTTACTTTTTTCACTTTATTTAAATTTGCAAAAAAAAATATTTATGAAATTTTGGAATTAGCTTTCCAGGTAATATACATATATAACAAATTATATATCATTTTATTATGATGCAGAAAAGAAAAAAAAAAAGGAAAGGACAAAAGAAATTAACAACAAAAAAAACATTTCTCATATTTTTTAGCACACTTTCATCAAAATCTGATTAAAAAAAAAAAAACAAAATCTGAAACCTAAAAACAAAAGAAAAAAAAGAAAAGAAAAAAAAAGTATTTAATTAAATATAAATTTATGGAATGATATAATATTTATATATTTTTTTTTAATACAGTAAATTTATTCATTCTTTTTCTTTTCTTTTTTTTTTTCCTTTCTCGAGAATATCAATGGAGGTAGAATGGAAATATTAGAGACATTTTGGTGATAAAAATGATAACATCAAAAAAAAAAAAAAGAGAGAGAAATTAATAAGTCAATTATAAATTTTCCAGAATTTTCTCTTCTTTTTTTTCCTGACTTGTTTATAAAAAAAGAAAAAAAGTATTTTCTGGAAAATTATAAATGAAAATAGAAGTGGGGGAGAAAAAAAAAGTAAACAACAAAAATAGACTGTTTCCTATATAATAATTATGTACAAGAAAAATAATAATTTGTTAATTAATGAAATCCTTTAAAAAGGATAATTAATTAATTAATTAATTAATTAAAAAAAAAAAGAAAAGAAAACCATTATTTTGATAATTTGAGGCAGTATTTGCCTGAGAAATAAGAAAGACAGCCTGAGACATTAGTTTTAGCCTGCACTTCAGAACAGTTATCAATGCAAAAAATGGATGATAATGATAATATGAAAATTAATTTTAACAAAAAAAAAAAAAAAAATGAAATGAATTGAAATTATTGGAAAAATTTGTTTAACTTTTTTGTCAATAATCATAAATGTATTCATAAATGGCCATGGAAGTGATAAAATGTATTATTAATTATATTTCTATCAAATATTCTTTTTTCCTTTTTTTCATACTTTCTCAAATTATAGCAAAAAGAAAAAAGAAATTTTTTATTTAATTGTTTGGTTGTTTTTTTTTTTTTTTTTGAAATGAAATAAAATTATGCTATATTTTTTTTTTCTTTCTAATAAAATTATAATTATTAGCTAAGCTTTCTTTTTTTTCCCCCATGTCCAGAGAATAAATCTTTTTTTACAATTTGTGCTAATGTTAGAAATGAAAAGAAAAAAAAAAAAGCAAGCAAACAAACAAATAAACAAACAAACATTACAAAAGAAAATAAAATGAAGTCCTTAATAAAGGATTTTTCATTTTGTTTAAAATAAAAAAATATATATATATAAATATACAAATATTATATATATATATATATATATTTGTTTATTTTATTTATTGATTTGTATAATTATTATATTTAATATATAAAAGTGAGAGATGGAAACCTGAAATGTTGCTAAATTGAGAATGAAAAAAAAAAGAAAAGAAAAGAAAAAAAATAAAAATGATAGGAATAAGAATAATAATAATAATAATAATAAATAGAAATAAATAATATTTTAATGATAAAAAATATTTAATGTTTTGCTTGTAATAAATGAAGATTGAATGTAAGAAAATCTGAACATGCTTGACCACAACGATTACATTTAAATGGATTTTCATAACCATGATATCCCATATGAATATGATATAATGGCTCATCCTGGAATGCCATCTTGCAATGACCACATGAAAAACGCCACATTTCTAGGATATGTAGCTTACGCTGAAATTTTTAAAAAATAAAAAAAAAAATTTTTTTAAAATGGTTAAAGAATAAGGTAAAAAAAAAATGCAGCTAATTAATTAATTTTATTAAATAAATAAATAAATCATTTTTAATATGTATGCAAAAAAGTTAAAGAATAAAGTAAAAAATAGTTAATTAATTTCATTAATGAAAATAAATCATTTTTAATATTTATGCAAAAAAAGTTAAAGAATAATTTAACAAAAAAAGATAATTAATTAATTAATTTTATTAAATAAGTAAATCATTTTTAATATGTATGCAAGAAAGTTAAAGAATAAAGTAAAAAATAGTTAATTAATTAATTTTATTAATGAAAATAAATCATTTTTAATATGTATGCAAAAAAGTTAAAGAATAATTTAAAAAAAAATAATTAATTAATTTTATTAATTAAGTAAATCATTTTTAATATGTATGCAAGAAAGTTAAAGAATAAAGTAAAGAATAGAATAATTAAATAATTTTATTAATGAAAATAAATCATTTTTAATATGTATGCAAAAAAAAGTTAAAGAATAACTTAAAAAAAAATACAGTTAATTAATTAATTTTATTAAGTAAATCATTTTCAATATGTATATAAAACATTCCCCAAAAAAGTTAGAGAATAAAGTGAAAAAAAAATAATTAATTAATTAATTTTATTAATGAAAATAAATCATTTTTAATATGTATGCAAGAAAGTTAAAGAATAAAGTGAAAAAATAAATTAATTAAATAATTTTATTAATTAAATAAATCATTTTTAATATGTATATAAACATTAATGGTTAAATTTTATTAATGAAAATAAATCATTTTTAATATGTATGCAATATTAATGAATTAATTTTTGTAAATTAAATAAAATTATTTTCAACATTTCACATATGGAAGAAAAAGAAAAAAAGAAAGGTTTGAAATTTATTTATTTTAAAGATTATTAAAATTAGTGAAAAAGAAAAAACAAACAAACAAATAAACAAACAAACAAACAAACCTCCATTTCTTGCATATGAGCAATACATGCTTGTTGAAAAATATTTAAATTGCTTAAATTAATCAAATCATTATGTATTCCAAGCGGTGTTATCAATTGTGGTTGTGGCGCTAATGGCGTTGTTGACGTTAATGATGATATTGATGGCGCTTCTTGTGAATCTAAAGTTATACCTACAGAAGTTCCACTCATTTCGTTTAATGGATTCTCTTTCATTCCTGATAATAACAATCCCTGCAATTGTTAC